GCACAGCGCAGCTTTCCCCAGAGGGTCGGGCTGGCCCAGCAGCAGGTCAGCACGCACAAACAGGGCGGCCAGCTTCTCCTGTAAGCAGTACCTATGTATGTACCTTACCTTAGGTATGTACCTCCCATACTATGGAACCACAGCTGGCCTGACCGGGCGACGTGCCGGTCCCCTCCCCCCCCCTCAGTCTGGCTTTTGTGCCCCCCCCCCCGTCTAACCCAAAGAAAAAACCTGAATCCCCAAAATCCCGGCGTCCGTATCGCTTCACAAACTGGCAACTTGCCGGTGTCCGGCCGGTTGGATCGTCCAACCTGGCACTTTGAAAATGGCTGGCCTACGACTCCGAGCAACTCGCTGACACGAGCGCGCCGTGACCAGCGCCTCCGTCTCCCCCTCTACCGTCATCTCGCAGAAACTCGCTCTCGCCTCCTGCCCCTCCTTTCCAACACAGACGGCACCTGGCTGAGGTGACGGTTCGAGCCGTTTTCAGGACCACCGTCTCCGCTGACGTTGCGCGATGCGCGAGCGAGCCCACGCCCCCCCCCCCCCCCCCCCCAAACGAAAAAACTCAACCCAACCCCTTCGTGGGCTCTTGGGGTGCACAGTGTGCTCCTCTTGGCGGTGGGGGAAAGCCCTCCAAAAGTGCCCCTCCAAGCCTTATGACGCCATGTATACCCTTCTTCCAGCCCTCGCCTGACCCCCCGCCGTCTATTGTTCTCTGGTTCTTCCATTGCTTCTGCTGTTGTCGGGGTGGACGCAAGCCTTTATTTTCGCGAGTTCAAGTCTCTTCACTTTGGGGCTCGGACAGGCATGCAAGCACATCAAAGCACCAAGTCACAGGCCACGCAAGTCTCAGGCCAAGTCGGCTGAGCATGACTACCGCTGCTTCTCCTCCGTTTTACCTTGGACCGGTCCCCTCGCCAAACTCGCTGACGTCCCTGCCAAACGGGCCTCCCCCCCCCTCTCTCCCTCCCCTCCGGTGCGATCGATCCAGATCGAAGACGGGCCCCTGACGACGTCAATCGACGGCCCCTCCGTTTGGACTGGGAACCCACAGTGTCCCCGGCCAACGCCATCCTACATCATCCACAGTGCCAGTAAGGGAGGGAACCTACCACACGTAGTGCTCGCACCAACAGTCTCCAGCGTGTGCCCCTCCATTGTACAGTACGGTGCCAGGTCCTGCCTGGCCCTCATCCGCTCCCCGCGCCCCCGGTTAGGCTTGGGACTTGTCCGTCTTGGGCCACGCTCAGGGGCGTGACTGGCGGGTTCTTCACGATCACGAGGCGGCATGGAATTTCCTTTTGCAGGGTGCCAGCTGGGCCCAGAGAAAGTAAGTCAACGTGACTTGACAGATTTCGCGGACTATTTGCTGCGAAAGAGGGCTTCTCAATTTCGCCAATGCCCCTCCCTCCCTTGCTTGGCCCGTGGTCAGTGCCGTGGTGTGGGCTGTTTTCTCTGGCCCGCCCCCCCCTTCCTCTTTCTCAAAAAAATCCGGGGAAAGCTTGCTGAGCTCGACCGCGGCGGGGTGAGCAGAGGGAGGGTCCTCGACGAGCTTCGTGCCGCCCATGACCATAGTCAGACTGGTCGGTGTAGGCAGGCGAGGAGCGGCGCTGTTCCTGTAGCAAGTCGGCCGGCTGCTTCTAGCGTAGTCGACGGCCCCTGGACAGGTCTGAGGACCTTGAGGGGCAGACTTTATTTGCGTGTCTGCCTGACTGACTGACTGACTGCCTGCTTGCCTGTCCCTTTGCAGATGGGGATGACGAACTGGCGTGTCTGCTAGACGCTCGGCGCGATTCTGGCCGAGCGCAAGTCGTTCGGTGGCATACAGGCAGGCAGGCAGGCAGGCGATCCCCCGGTCTGACGGCTCCAGGGCGCGGCAACAGATCAGCGAGTGCTTGCTTGTCTCTGCGCTTCATCGGAATTGTGCCATCATGTTGCTAATGGGATCAATGATGACTGTGAAGAGTGGATCATGTTGCTGGTGCTTAGAGACAGAAAACCAGAGGCCAACTGCAAGATCAGTGTTCAGACTGAGAAGGGACATCTGACCCGCTGCCGCGCACGATGATGTAAGTGAAGTCGGGCAACTACACACAGCAGAACCGTTGGTGTCCCCACGAGGCGCCAGCATCGTACAAATGACTTGTTGGGGCCGACGGTCCCCAGTGTTGGTAGAGGAAGGCCATCGGGCTATGGGCGTTGTGGGCGCACGTTGGGCCAAGCACAGCATGTCGCCGCCTAGAGGCCGCGCAGTGGTACGTACGCGTACTCTTGTTCGTCACGGCTGCGGCTGCGGCGATGCTATGCAGCTGCCTGATGCGAGCAAAGTAGTATATGTGTCTTCCGTGGGGACCAGCTCTTCGGCTCATCTGATGCTCCTGTCCTGGGATTGTTCTCGTGCAAGGAAGCAATCACTATCGAATCAATCAATCAAAGGGAAAACACAGTGCAGAGCCAACGGGCAGTCCGTGCCAAGGGTCAAGCAGAACGTGTTCGGAGCGTGTTTCACAGGTGCTTTGCTCGAACGGCGATCGCTGCAGACGGGTCACTTGCAGGAGGCAGCACTCACAGAAGGCACTTGCAGAAGAACTTGCAGAAGGCACAGACGGAAGACACTCGCAGAAGGCACAAGCAGAAGGCACAAGCAGAAGGCACAAGCAGCACTGACACAAGGCGCACAAGCACTGACAGAAGGCGCACAAGCACTGACAGAAGGCGCGCGAGCAGCACTTGCCGTCAGCTGCCACTTGCAGCCGCCAAGTCATTCCGACGCGGCAGGACACCTCGCCTCACTGACGCCGCAGGACACCTCGCCTGGGAAGGCGCCCGCCGTTGTCGAGGCAGGTGTGTGAGGAGCCGCTGCCCGGCCAAAGGAGAGTGGAGCCACGCAAGACTCCAAGACACGACCAGCCTCCACCCGCCAACCAGGACCCCCGAGAGGCAACGTAACGACGGATCCTCTCGTCGACAACACAGCCATTGCCGAACATACCACTTTTCTCTCTCCCAGACGTCGTCGCCTCTTTCCATCCCCATCGCATCTGCTACCACCATTCATCCCGACAAACGATTCACGAGCACCATCTTACGACCGTGATCCGATTGGCACGAGCTTCCGATACTTGATCGGCATTAGCTTCCGATACTCGATCGACACACGACAGCTCCGGCACGACAGCTCTGACACGACATAACCATCACTACCACCTCGTCTCCATCATGACTCTCAAGGAGGAGTTCCAGACCCGCAACTTCAGTATGCATCTCCTCGACGCAGTTGACTTGACGCCCAGTTCCTTTCGCTAACCCTGTGCAGGCATCTACGGACAATGGTAAGCTCGCGCTGACGTGCTCCTTCGTCCCCTGCGACGAAGCCATCGCAGCTCTGCCGACACGCCCGATGCCATCGCGCTCAGCCTTGCTGGGCCCTCGCCGATACAGACTGGTACATGAGCTGACATTCGACAGGGCCGGCATCTTGGCCATGATCCTGTGCTTGGCGCTGGGCATCGCCAACATCTTCACATTTAACGTTGTCATCATCATCTTCTGCGCCCTCGCCCTGTGAGCCTCTCCCTCCCCGCCGCCGTCTCCATCTCCATCGTGACAACCGCTCATCCCTGCGCGCAGCGTCTCCGCCTTTGTCATCCTCTTCATCGAGGTGCCCCTGCTCCTCCGCATCTGCCCGACCTCGTCCAAGTTCGACGAAGCCATCCGCAAGGTCTCGACCAACTACATGCGCGCCGCCGCCTACGCCGTCATGGCCGTCATCCAGTTCCTCAGCACCATCGCCTCGAGGACCTCTCTGATCGCCGCCGGGGTCTTCCTGCTGATCGCCGGCATCTTCTACCTGCTCGCCGCCGTCAAGGGCCAGGACTTTGTCGGCTCCAAGACGCTCGGCGGCCACGGCGTCGCGCAGATGATTGTCTGAGCTGCGTGTCCGGCACGGCGCGCTGTGCCGTTGTGCTGCCAAGGCACGGAAGACAGAGGGAGACGGGAGGGTTGCAGCAAGGAAAGCAGGCTGCAGCAGGGAAATGCTGCAGCAGGAAAGACTGTTGGATGGCCCATCACCGCTGCGGCGTGCTGCGTATGCTGCGTATGCTGCGTATGCTGCGTATGCTGCGTATGCTGATGGGCACCGGATGAGGTGATGATGAGTCTACGCACACCGTACATTTGTATTTTTCCCCCACAATCCGCGACGGCCCCCATGATATCCATGTCGGGCGAAGGGATCAGGCGTCTCGGATGAGTTTAGGCTACAGTTGACCGATGCGCGGCGGAGCCTTCTTTTTGATCCGTCTTTTTGATCCGGAGATACCGGCAATGATGATTTGCGTTCTGGCGAGGCTGTGCTGAGGGTCCTTGAGGTTCGTGATGTTTGAGTTGGTCATGCTGTTTGCTGTAATGGACGTCTGATCGATGGAAAGAAAGCTGGCTGTCGACATATCCGTGGTGGATGGAGATGAAGTTGAGGTCACGCCAGTTATCAACGCTGGATCCTTTCCATGCCACTAGCAAGGGTCAACTGCTTGCTTGCATGGTACCAAGAGGATGTCTCGCGCTCGTCGACAGGTCCGATTCCGTGGGTTGTAGGAGGTAAACGGCCGTACGCAGTCGATGACAGCGGCCTGGACGCCATAGAAACGTGAAGGCAGTGCAGACTTTGCATTGTCATGTCACGGCGCAATAGCTGGAGAGTCGAGAGTAGAACTCGTCTCGTGTTCGGTGGAGGCATCAACAAATACTACCTCGCTTCTTGCAGATGTATCTCGGGAATCTTGCTTGGTGCTGAATATCACGTCAACTCGGCGAATCAAGCCATGAATGGAAGACTGGTTTCAGAAAGAGTGCCTTGACAGGAACTCTCATGATATCAAAACCGTCTCCAGACGCCAACGCCGTTCTGCTGCAATACAACCACCAATCTGCGCCTCGTCCACGTCACGGCCTGCCATTCTTGTCTATCCAGTCTATCCGGTCTATGCCTCGACAAACTAATGACCCTCAAAATGCTCCCTCGCCCAGAACCGCGCATCCCACCGGTGCCACGCCCCCTCGCCGCCAACGCGCCCCTTGTCCCACGACGTCTTCGACACGAGCCTCGGCGCGCCAGCCCGAGGCCGCAGCCCGAGATCCCTCTCCGACCACGCCAGCCCGTCCCAGTCCATGACCGTGTCGATCCTCGTGTCGCCAATCTCCAGGAAACTGTACTCGGCGACCTCGGCGCGCCAGCCGCGGACGGCAGCGGCCCGCACCTCCTGCGGCCGGACGCCCACGTCCTGCTCGCCGAGCCTCATCTCCGCCACGGCACCCGGCAGCCCGACGTAGAAGCTGCCGCTGGCGTCGCCGGCCTTGGCCAGCGCGTGCACCCGCGCCGGCCTCGTGCGGGCCGCGGGCCGCGGCTGCAGGATGACGACGCTCGACGGCCGGTACAGCGCGTGGCGCACACAGGCGTGGAAGCCGCAGCGCCGGCCCGAGAGCGCATGGCATCGCGCCCCCCTGCCCGCCGCCGAGGTGGTGGCAGAGGTGGCAGAGGTGACAGAGACGGCGGCGGGCGCCGGCACGGGACCCCACGCGCGACACGGCGCCGCGGCCTCGGCGTACGCGTAGCCGACGCCCGGGCGCCGCACGTCGAACACCTTGAGGTGGGCGTGCTCGTTGCTGCCGGCGACGAAGCGCTCGCCGCCCCAGGCCAGCAGCGACGACAGCGGCTCGTCGGGCTGGTAGGCCCTGTCGCGGAAGAGGGCGTCGGCGGCGCGCGGCGAGCGCAGGTCCGTCAGCCGCACGGCGCCGTCGTCCCAGGCCGAGAGGAGCACGTTGGGCGAGAGCACCTCGAGCGCGCGCACCGTTGTTTGTCTGCTGCCGCTGCTGCTGTCTGTGCCTCCGCCGGACGGCAGCTTCGACAGGAGCCGCCGCGGCTTGCCGGTCGACAGCGGGACGAGGGACCCCGCGGGCGTCAGCGTCAGGAGGCGCAGCGGCTCGTCGTCGCCGCCGAGGGCGCAGGCGAGGGTCGTGTCCGAGAGGGGTTTCGCGGCGTGGAGGAACCGCGGCGCTGCCGTTCCGCCGGGGCCGGGAAACGAATACGTTGCCGCGGGCTGCTGCTGCTGTCGGTCATGGCCATGGCCATGGTCACGGCCGTGGTCACCGTGCTCGTCTGGCAGGCGGTAGACGCCCAACCTCGCGCGGTCCCCGGACACGAGCATCGCATCGCCGGGAAACAGGTCGACAAAGCCAACGCTGCCCCACGACGCACCCTGCGGCGCGCCCCGCGGCACGTCAAACGCGGCGATGACGCGGCCGGCATCGTCGGCGCCCGCCTCGGCCGACACGAGCTCCAGCACGCCCGACGCGCGCCCGACAAAGAGGCCGAGACGGCCGCGCGGCGCGCCGACCTTGACGGCCGTCACGTCGCCCCCGACAGGCCTGTGGCCGGCCGTCTTGCCGTCGAGACGGAACCAGGCCTCGGCGCCGCGGCCGTCGGTGCTGTCGCCGGCGCCGGCGCTGGCGCTGACGTGCCTGAACCGCCCGACGAGGTCCTCGCCGGCGCCCCAGACGACGAGCTCCTGCGTGCCGGCGTGCACGAGCCGCGCGTCGACGCAGGGCGAGAACGGGTGCGCGTGGGCCGCGGCGTAGCCGTCGAGGAAGTTGCCGCTCGCGGCCCGCGCGTCCGTGTACACGCCGGGCACGTAGGCGTGGCGGTCCCGCAGGCGCGCCGACGCCGTCAGGGCGCGCGCGAGCGTGGCCCAGGAGGGCTGCGCGGGCGCGTCGTCACGGTGGTGCTGCGGCAGCGTCGGAAAGGCGTGCCGGAGAAACGCCTTCCAGCCGGCGTCGGCGACGAGGGCGTGCAGCGCCTTGGAGGTCTGCGCGAGGCGGGCGACGGGGGCGGCCGTGGCGAGGTGGCCTATGATGTCGAGGAGGATGTCTGTGGGCAGGGCGGCGAGGGACGTGTGCGTCTTGGCCGTGTGCGGCCGTGGCGGCGGGGCCCGTCGGGGTGATGATGGTCTTCGTCTGTGGTTGCTGTGTGTGGTCATTGTGCGGTGGTCATGGTGGTGGTGGTTGGTGGCCCTGGAGGACGTGCTGCCTGCTTTAGTATCCCTCATGTTCTCCCGTGTCTGTCTCGTGACGCAAGACGTCCTCACGTCTGACTCACAGAGGCCGGAGAGTGGGTGGCGATGCAGACGGGGTGAGGCCAAAGATGAGAAGCCAAGGCGAGAGACCCAAAGGCGAGAGGCCAAAGGCGATGATGACCTGCAGTCGCAAGACTCTGACGGAATCCACTTTTTCTACGACGTCGACATGCTGTGGCATCTCGCGAGCAGCATAAGCCCTCGTTGACTTGGTGTTTGTTCATGCAATCATGCCAGCCAAAAAAAAAGACAGCAAGAATCCTATTCGACAGCTAACCCTACCAGAGGTCCCCCCAACGCCAAATGATGCACAGCCTTGCACACGAGTCCTGACATGCTCGTCTGCCAATCCATCCCTTGCCAGCCTGGCGACCGTCCCAACGTCCCCACGTCGTACGTCCAAACGCCGTACCCAAACACGACCTCCTCATGGCCACATCACGGCAGGGCCCGCTCGTCGATCCCCCGTGCGCCGCCGTACAGCATGGCCATGAGCTTGCCCTTCTGCCGCGCCCGCACGTCCTCGAGGTAGCCGCCGACCGTCTCGAGCCCGCGCACCTGCTCGTCGAGCGTCAGCGTGCTCGAGTTGACGCTGCGCACGAGCGGGCTGACGAGCTTCCGCCGCAGGCTCTCGAGGTTCGCCTTGAGCGTCAGCAGCCGCCCGTTGTGCTCGACGAGCACGCCCTTGTTGCGCACCGTCTTCTCGCGCACGTTCTGCAGCAGCAGCTTGTTGCGCGCAAACTTGGCCACGGCCCCGGCGTTGGCCCCGAGGATCCGCGTCCACAGCGACGACAGCACCTCGGCCTGCATGTCCTCCTGCGCGCTGGCCTCGCGCACCACCGTCCGCGCGAGGTTGAGGAACTGCCGGTCGATGGCCTCGAAGAGCCCGAACAGCGCGAGCGAGTGCTGCAGCTCCGCCTCGATCGCCTCCTCGAGCACCGACAGGAACTCGTGGAACGTCCGCTCGAGCGCCTGCTGCGTGCGCTGCGGGTTCGACAGCCCGAAGAGCGCCGTCACGAGCGTCCCCGCGCGCGTCGGGCGGCCGGCCGGCGTCTCCAGCACCCCCGCCCGCGACAGCAGGTTGTGCACGTTGTCAAACGCCGCCGTCAGCGGCGGCGACGCCAGCTGCTGCACCTGCGCCAGCTCCCGCCGCGCCCAGTCCATGACGAGGAGGATGCCGTCAATGTCGCCGTCGACGTTGGCGAAGAACTTGGTCAGCTCCACGGCGAGCGTCTTGAGGCTGTCGCTGAGCTCGTCGAGCTCCTTGACGATGATCGGCGCCGACGTCATGTTGCTCGACCGCACGCTCTCGCCGAGGTCCCACACCGCCACGCCCGTCGCCTGCAGGTCGCCGACCTGCGACGCGCCGTTCTCCGAAAAGTAGATGAGCGGCTCGAACGACCGCGCGATCCCCGCCACCTTGACGAGGTCCGGCACGGGCCTGGGCGTCGCCGGCTGGAAGAGGTTGCGGAGCGCTGTCACGGAGACGACGGCGACGAGGACGGAGAGAAGGAGCGACGACCACGACTTGGTCGCGGCGGCCCACCGCGCGCGCAGAAAATGGACGGCCCGCTCAATCGGTTCCGTGCGCTGCTGCACCTCCGCCCGCAACGCGAAGCGGATGTAATTGTCGGGGCCCTCGGCGCTGCGCACCTCACCCAGACTCGACGACCCCTTCCAGGCCATGTCGTCGAGTTGCAGCGTTGTCGTCTCCTCACGCTTGGGCGCCGGGCTCGGCGACCTGCGCTTGTCGGGGCTCATGCTTCCCGTCGGCAGCCTCGTCCGCACGGCGCGGTCGAGGACGTCGTCGCCCGGCAGGTCGCCGTCGTCGTACGCGGGGCTCGACGCGCGCGAGTCCCGCGGCGGGCACGTGCCGAGAATGTCGTTAGTCTTGCGCCAGAAGCCGCTGTCGCGGTTCCCGTTTCCCAGACGGCGCCAGGCCGGAGGACTGTAGCCACCGGGTGAGTCGACGGGGTCGAGCAGGTCGCTCTCCGTGTCGTCGGAACGGAAGCCAGAGTGGTGGGACGGGTAGCCGAAGTGCGGGTGCGGCGGTGTCGTCGGCTCGAAGTCTTGGAGCGAGGCGTCGAGATGATCGAGAGGATCGTGTGCCGTCATGGTGGGCGAGCACGAGCGCGTCAGACGTCTCGGGCGCCGGAAGAGCGGGAAGGACCTTGCCGGTTCCCGTGGCCGCGGCCGCGTTGCTGCTGCTGCTGCTGCTGCTCCGTGTGGCGGCGCTGCGCTTGGCAAAGTACGGCAGGTTGGGCAGCAACGTGGGTTTCCAGGAGATCTGGATGACGTAGAGGTAGACGAAGACAAAGGCCAAGGTGACGGAGGCGATGTAGGCGCTCGGGGCAATGGTGATGCTCAGCAGCGACACGTTATTGTTGACCGTGACGAGCGAGTAGACCATGGCACGGGCGGGCACGACGGAGATGGGCAGCCCGCGCCTGACAGCAGGTGATGGAGGCGTGCTTGGGCGTCGTGTGTACGTGACGGATGAGGAGGGGATTCGTACGTCCCACCGGTGCTGGGTGAAGAATAAATGTTGGGCGATTCGAGTATACAGTCCGTCTCAGACAAGGTTCCGTTGATTGAATCGAAAAGAAGGTTGAGAAAGCGTAAAAAAAGGCAGACAGTCGCAGAGCCCAGAATGTGAGTGTCGAATAACCAGAGAGACCTGCAAGGTACGACACCCCTACTTTTCAATGGCCACAGGCCGGCCGTCTGGGCCACGGACTCCAAGGCCAGCTCGAAATCGAGAGGTTGGGAGGACGTCGCTCGGTTCCACCGCCGCCTCGAGGTGCCCGGTCAGTGGCCCCCCTCCCCTCCTTTCTCTCTCACCACCCTCCCTGTCCTGGTCCTTGGAGTAGAGGGAGGTTTGAGATGCCTGGCCCAATCACCATCGAGGAGCAGGCCAGAAGTGCAAGCCCGCTGTCCACCTTTCCTTTTCCGGCTCGAGATGTTGTGTCTGACTCTGGCGGAAACACGACAGGGGTCTTCCTGCGGGAAGGAGGGGGGAGCAGAGATGCCGTCGGTCGGGGCGTCCGACCAAAACAAATATGGCTATGGAGGCAATGGTTGGAATGCTTGGGGCGAAGCAATGATGGATTGATGGATGGATTCGACGGGTTGATCGATGGATAGGCGATGGCCAGGGAGGGGTCAGTCCCGATCTGGTGACGAGGGGGAAATCCCGACGCCAAAAGGTCGCCAGATGGTCACGGATGGGTGGGGCCAGTGACACGTCTAGAACGGTGGGCCTGTGAGTGGTCCGTGCACCAACTGCCGTTTGCCCACCATGCTGGGGCCCATCTGCCAATCACGGTCCACAGCCACGTGTTTGGTGTGTTTACTCCGTATCTTATCACCCCGCGCCCGCACATCCAAACATCGCGACCACTGCACGATACACCACGCGCGACGTGCTGCAACCACTTAAACAAAAACAGATTTGCTACTGCCCAGTACCCGATTGGGTACGGCATGGTCATGACATGGTCATGGCATGAATCATCGTGGATTTTTCGCTTGTTCCCTTCCCCCCTCCCCCCCCTTCACCCGTCAAAACCATCGTCCCAAAACGCCGCAAGCGCTGTCGCTGCAGGATATTTCCTTGCTCTTCTTGTCTTCAACTCTCTCTGCTGACCCGCCCGGCAGCCTACCTGCCCCCCACCCTCTGGCCATCACAGCATCCCCTCACCCGAGCATCGACTTTCGGCGTCTCGCGTGCGCTCGAGTCATATCTTCTGCGTGCGTTTGCCCTGCCGCATGCGCCTCCTGCTCTGCTTTCTTGTTGCGCAGAGACGATGACCGCCTTGACCTCGGCCTCTCTTCGTCTGCCTCTGCGAATGCCCCTACCCGTGCCCCTGTTCCCGCCTCGTCCTCGGCCTCTACCTCCACGCCTGCCTCTGGTGCTGCCACGAGACCCCGCCGACTCGGAAACCCGTAACCATTCTAATCGATCTTGGCGTTCGCGAGACTGCGGCTCGCCGGGTTGCTGAGGTTGTTGACCTGGCCCATCGGCCCCTTTTTGTACTTGCTGTGTTTCCTCAGCCGCTTGCGTGCCACCATGACCGGCACCGAGCTCTTCGTGACGAGATAGTTGGAGAACGAGCCCAGAATGACGCTGCCGCATGTTAGTTGAAGAAAGAAGAAGGGGCAAAAAAAAAAAAAAAAAAAAAAAGAAAAAAGAAGAACAGCGTGCCGCCATGGTCAAAACGTACCCCTTCAGTGCGCTGCGGCCCCGACTGCCCAGAATGACCAGCGTCGGGCTGACGAGGTCAATCACCTCCGTGATGAGATGCTTGGGGTTCTTGCAGTGCAGGACCTCGACCACCACACGCACCTGCAGCTTAGTCTTGCGCAGCAGCTTCGTCACCCGCTCCGTGATCTCCTCCACTGCCCGCTGCCGCTCCTCCTCCGCCCTGCCCCTGTCCCGGCTGGCCGGCGCCGGCGACGAGCTCCTAGACCCGAAACCCAAGGCCGTCGCTCGTGAAATGTGCGGGAAGATGGGCGCCGGATTCGCGCTGCCCTGTCCGTCCTTGCCAGCCGTCACTGCATTGATCGCCGCCGCCTGCTCCTTGTGCGCCTTGACTTCGTCGGGGATCAGCACATTCTCGTCCGCGTAGATGCCCGTCTCCTCGTCGACGCAATAGATCGCGAGGAGCGTGTCGCCGTCACGGAGGACTGTGCCGATGGTCCACTCCAGCGCGTGGCTCGACTCGTCGCTGAGATCTGTCGCCACGAGATACTTTCGCAACGTGCGGCCCTCTTCGTCCGCCGCGCGCTCGAGCTCGTCGAATTCACCTCGATACACGATGCGAATGGTGCGATGGGAGTCGGGCGTCGAGATGACGGGTGTCATGGAGAAGGCCAGTTTTTGTGCTCGCTTGATGTCCGTCAGGTCTGCCTCCTCGTCGGAGTCGACAGCGCTTGGCGGGCCCGACGTCGGGCTCTGATCGAATGCTGTTGAGGGATGGACACCGGGCTTGGAAGGCTTGGCCCTCTCGCCACTGGGGCCCGTGACTGTGATCTCGGGCTCGTCGAAGAGTGACCTGTACCCGGGCTGTCGGTTTGGCTGATTGGTGGACACTTCAATACCTGGATGGACGTCAGCACACTGCGTTGACCTACCCTGTATGCCTGCGTGACTCACGTTCTTCCTCGGCGGCCGCCAGCAGACTGCGCGTCTGTCGCTGCGGCCCCGCTGCGGCGGCTGGCGTCGATTTGGCCTTGGCATCGCGAGACTCTGGCAAGAGCTTGCGCCCCCTTGTCCCCTCGTCGTCTGAGCTGTCGTTGTTCGGCTCCTCGTCGCTGCTGTCCTCGAGATCTTCACCGTCCGGGCTCAGGTAATCCTTGGCCAGTCTTCCGTGGTTGGCATTGTCGGACGCGTTGGACTTGCGATGCGCCAGCCCCGAAAGACTTCCGGCAGAAAAGGCGAGGTTGGCGTCGGACAGCTTGCGATAGGCGTTGCTGATGTCTACGACACGGCCGTCGTCGAGGACGGCGGTGCCGGGGATCTGCTGGAAATGGCCCGAGACGTTGGGCGAGGGGGAGCGGAAGCCCATTCTGCCGTGGGGCGACTTGGATTTTGTGTTGTTCTTGCTCGAGCTTCTACGGCCCGAGGGGCCCGAGACGGAGCCGTGGCGCCCCGTCCTGTCGGTCGGCAGGATGATGCTCGAGAGATCGCTGCCGCGCAGGGCCTCGGCCATGGCGTTGGTGTTGCCGACGTTGCCCGAGGACGAGGCGCCAAACTTGGCGGCCTGGGTGTTTCTCTTGGGCAGGGCCTGGCCAATGTTGTTCGTGTTGATGTCGGAGAACTGGTAGCCGGCGGTGGGGTCGAGACGGCTGCCAATGGAGGCACGAGGCCCAAAGCTGGGCTTGGAGCTCGTGTCGGACATGGAGCGCGGGTGATGGGCGGGGGCGCGGTTGGACTGGAAAGAGGACCTCGACTCGACGGGCGAGTTGGGGCCGCTGGGTGCGTGGCCGGCAGCGGGGACGTCAATGTCGAGCATGCTCCTGCGCACGGGGTGCATGGGGGGGCTGTCGACGTCGAGCATGCTGCGGACGGGGGCGACGCGGGGCGGGCTCTTGCTCGAGGTGCTGGCGGCATCGTCGACGACGTCGAGCATGCTCATGACGGGCGAGCGAGGCGTCGTGTAGGGCGAGGTCGAGCGAATGGCCTCGGGGGACGAGCGCCCCTCGAGCAGGGCGAGGACCTCCTTACGTTCCTCGTCCAGCATGGCCTCCATGCTCATGGGCTGATTGCGCGCCATTGCGGCGGCGGTGACGGTGAACGGAAAAGATTCGTCCTAGGTCAATGGCGATGGGTACGTGAGGCGGGTGCAGATGGTGTGTAATGGGCTCGTTGCAAGAGTTCGTGAGGGGGCGTGTGTGGTGGTGAAGATAAGACTACTGGAAGGTGAGAGGAAGGTAGGTAGGTAGGTAGGTAGGTATGGAAAGGGTGTAATGATGGGTTGATTGACGAGCCAGACGTGAGATGGAGGTCGAAGGTGGAGGTCGAGGTGGAGGGAAGTGGCAGGGTGGGTAGGGGCAGGGCCGACAAGCGAGATGCTGGTTGGCTGAGGGCGGCAGGTTCGATGAATTAAGGTAAGGTAGCCTGGCCTGTCTGGGTGCCAGGGAGGCAGGCAGGGCAGGGTAGGTTCCTTCCTCAGCCAGGATGCAGCCAGTGAGGGTGCAGAGCATGAGCGAGGCAAGCAGGAGCTGATGGGCGGGGGAGTCAAGCAGAAGCAGCAGCGACAGCATCAGCGTGAGGGGTAGAACAGCCGCTCTTGCACGTTCTTGGGTTAGCCCTGTTGCTCAGGTACTGCCTACCTGCCCGTGCCCACTCTTGCCCGCCCCTCTCTCTCTTGTCTGTCTCTGTCTCTCTCTTTCCCTCTCTCTGGACTCGGGACCTCCATGACGATCCGCGGGGGCACCGCCCGCTGCGTCAAGCGCTGTAGACAAGGACGCTACAGCGGTTCCGTCGATGAAGAGTCACACGCACCCTTGGTTCGCCTCTTTCCCCTCCGACAACGACAGGGCTGTGCAAAACCAGGCGCCAGCCGCCCGAAAGAAAAGTACAAGTCACAATGGATCCTGACGAATACGACGTGGACGTGGTCTGGGTGTTTCTCTCTTCTCTCTCTCTCGTGTCTGTCTCTGCCTCAGTCTTGGCGCAGGCGGTTTCCACGTGGATGGGCTGATCTGAATGCAGCAGCTTCACAGAGGCGAGGACCCCGAAAGGTACCTCTGTCTCGCCGGCGGTTTGCAGTGCACAGGTACCTGTTTCCAGGTGTGACAAGGTGTGCCTCGCTGCCCACCTGCTGCCTCCCCTCCTGCGACCTCTGACGAGCTGACGCTCACCCAGATGCAGCCGGCGCTCTGGAATGGAGGGAGGCTCACGCGGGCGGCCTCACGCTAGCATGCGTCTCGACTCTCAATCTGCTCCGTGTCAGACAAGGATCGGACATGTCGAGCCATACACTAGCACACCCTACAGTAGTGTAGGGGCGCGGGCGCAGTCGCAAAGTGGAAGCTCTGGTCGAGTCGTCGGAAGACATCCGAGAGCGCCATGTACACAGACACTGACACGTGACAGTGCCACTCCATATTGTCTGCCTCGATCACAGCTCATTCCCATTCACGTCATCAATGCAAACGAGCAACGTCAGAAAACTATTGACATGAATATGCATGTACACCATGTTCCATCAGCTCATACCACGGTGTCATCGTGCATAATGATCGACTGACCACACCCTTCCTGTCTAGAGAGCTGTCTAGAGAGCAGCAACCGCTACGATGGCAGCAACACCGGCAGCAATCGCCGATCCAACCGTTCTGCCGGCTCCGCTAACCTCGACAACAGAGGGCACAGGCTAGCAATCACAGATCAGCAAACTCGTCCGCAAACTCCAGACCTGCACGATGCAAACTCACCACCGAGCCGTCCGTGGCATCGGCGCTCTCGACGACGGCGGGCGCCGTGGCAACGTGAGAAGGCGAGCCGGTGGCGGGCGTATGCGCGGGGGGCGCGGGCTGCACAGGAGCGTCGGCAGACTTGGTCGGCACGACGACGTGGCCGGGGACTTCGGTCATCTTGGTGACGAGCGTCGTGGGCTTGCCCTGGCCTGTGGGCACGCCGTTGGCGTCGGTCTCGCAGGGCGCTGTGCTGGTGTGGGCGGCCGTTCCGTTCGCGTGGGAGTGCGTCTCCACGGAGTAGGGAGCGCCGCTGCTGACAGGGTGCTCGACGGCAGAAGAGGTCGGCTCGCCGGCGGCGGCCGAGTTGATGAGGCTGCTGGCCGGAACGCCGGCAGCCGAGGACCCGGGGGGGGGGACAATGACGCTGGGCTGCTCGGCAGAGACGGCGGCGCTGGTCACGGCAGAGGCGGCGGTGCTCGTGGGGTCGACGGGGGCGGGGGCGCTGCTGACGGGATCGACAGGAGCAGGGGCGCTGCTGACAGGGTTAACGGGAGCAGGGGCGCTGCTGGGCGGTACAACGGGCGCCTCGCTGCTGGGCTGGGCCGGTGCCTCCGTGGACGTGGGCGTCGGCACCCAGCCGCTGGGCGACGGCTCGGCCGTGAGACCGCAGGCGGCGGCGGCCGGCGTGATGGCGTTGCGGTAGAACTGCCAGATGCCCTCGGTGTTGGCGCAGATCATGCACGCATCGTAGCGGCCGCGCCACTCGGCGTTGGTGCAGTAGCCCTCGACACGGCTAAGCGAGATGGTGGTGCCTGGAAATGTCAGTGGGGGAGGGTTCGCGGCAGGCCGGCCTGGCGAGCCAGACCTCGAGTGCTCTCTGCTTACCGCAGTCCTCGTGGCACTGGAACCGAGGGGTGCCGGGTGCCTGACGAGCCTCAATGGGCATGGCATCGGGCCAGTCCCAGCTGGGAGCCAGGGACGCCGAGGCGGCAGTCACGGAGCTCGAGACGAGCAGGGCAGAGGCAACGAACGAACGCATTCTGACTGGGTATGGGGTTCAGTGAATGAAGGAATGAGAGACCACAATCCAGGATCAGAAGCGCGCCAAAACAGACAACGTAGCGAGTGAGAAGACAGAGGGCAGCAGAACCTTGAAAATTACCTGGGCAGGGCGAGGGATTATATGCCTGCACCAGATAATCAGGTCGCGCAAGGCCAGCCCGGCTCAAGTCGCAACGCGAAGAGAGCCAAGACCGCCGACTCATAGAACTTGGCCATTCGGCCGACAGTATGCATACCTAGAGACTGAGTTATCTGATTGCCAAGACAGCCGGGGCATCGTGAACTGAGTGGGCACCCCTGTGCTAGATCACCAATCATATTGCCGCGATCCATCTAATCTTATCAGATCATCTGATAAAATTTCATCAAGACCCCGACCCATGAGGGGCTGCCGGGGCACGCCGTGAGGAGCAATCCAATAGCGCGCTTCTCGTGACGAGGGACGCCCCCCCTCGGACCTGCACTAGCCCCAGCTGTTCATGCCAGGAACGAACTGCGAGGCGAGGCCGACATCGCTGCCGGCATCCCAGGGCGAGCCGACATGTCCGGCTATGACTTGGAGGCGTCGTGGCAAGGCTTGGCGTCAGGTCTGGATCACGTTGAGAACGAGGAGATCGAAAGCATTGACACATCGCGGCCCACTTCGAGGTTCTGTGCAGCGTCGGGCCATATTCAGCAGCCAAAACGGTCACGAAGCTACATGAGTATGGCGGTTCGGGAAGTGCCCGTCATGTTTGCCATGGCTCCTCGTCATAGGAATGCCATCTGCTTTTTAACAATCCCATTTTAACAATTCAGGCATCAGTTGGTCACTATGTGTGTGGTGTTTATGGAAAGAATGGTGTCCTGACCCAAGAGTTTGGCACACCAAAAAATATGCTTAACAGTCGCCCAGACTCCCCATCGTTGGCGCCTGTCAGGATACAGACAGCTAGTCGTATGTGCGAAGCAATCTGCCACTCAAGTTTATTCAATGCTGCACACTGAATCATTCCCTTAAGCTCCAGGGCATGGGCGGCTTGACGTTCTGCCACAGCAGAGGTTCACCGCGTTCCCACGAGGGCTGCACGCACGATTTGCATGGCTTCATTCACTCGCATGCCTTCATACATGCTCTATCTAGGACGAGTCTCGTCGGCCTTGGACATCAGTCTACGACCCTGCGGCTGCAAGTCGCCCACGGATGCGCCGGAGAGTGGTCGTCACACGCCCCGCCTAGCACCCTGACGCCCAGGCACCACGAAGTACTCGGATGTGCAAAGCAAATAGAATCATATCGGCTGCACTATGAAGCAGCGGGGACGCCGTGAATCTAAGCCGGAGATGACATGCTGTTGAGGCGATGAAAGACAGATCGAGCCAACAAGGCAACAGTCTAGCCACTGACGCTGGCGGATGGAGTGTCGCTTCAGCACTCTGGCGAAACAGGAGGACCCTAGCCAATGGCTACATACATCATGGCATGCTGAAGAGGAACAGCTTGCTTCACCTTCTACGAGCAAACCTGTCACCAAAGGGTAGGGAATCGTACCATCTAGGCACGTCGTTCATCAACAAATTACACGAACCAAACCGAAGTGACATGGCACAAGCTTCTCATCATTGGAAACCCATCTGTACAGCCGGTATAGTACAACAGATACACCGAAACATTTTGTTACAACGGCCAGCCCCAGAGCCGGCCGGCTCTCGTCAGCGCCTCTCAGCGGTCCCCCCCGGCTTCGGCCCCATGCAGCCTCCCCTCCTCTTTCTAGAGAGGAAAAGCTGCCTTAGACCTACTTCTTACCGGTGCCGGTCCTGACCTGCTGCGCCGTCAGGTTGGCTCGCGTCGACGTGGCGAGCTTGTGCACGGCAATCCGCTTCTCCCAGACGCCGGACCGACCCTCGGCAATGGCGATGATCTCGTTGGCGATGCGGTGCGCGAGCTGCGTCCGGCCGCTGCCCGTCGACCTCTTCTTGGCGACGGCGTCGAGGATCCACTGGAACGCCAGGCGGCGGCGCTGTCGCACAGCGAGCGGGCCGGGCATCTCGAGGGCGCGGCCACCGCCCGCGGCGCCGGGGATGTACCGGACCTTGACGAGGGGCGCCACGCTGTCAATGACGATGGTCAGGTACATGACGGGGTTGAGGGGGAAGTGCGAGCCCGGCGGGTGGCCCGCCATGAGGGGGTTCTTGGTGCTGAGGATCGGGGCCGGGGCCGTGCGGAGGTGGTTGAGGATCATGGCCATGTTCTGCGAAGGAGGGTGCACGTGTTAGTGACATGTCTTTTTTTGTCAAATATTGATGTGCC